TCAATTGATGAAATTACAATTAAGCAAAATATTGAAAATATAATTACAAAAAATAATAAGTATAGAAAACTTATATAAAAAGATAGTGAAAAATAATTCAAAAGTATAAATGTGATAGACCATTCAAAAAAACAAATATTAGTGTCAAAATTATTTTAATATAAGAAAAAACAAGTGATAAAAAACTTTCTAATTATTTTGTGTCAAATTTTTTAAAAATAAAAATTTTCTTATACCTAAAATTTGCATTTATAATATTGAAAAGTTCTAGGCAAAAGGTTTAAATAAAGCTTTATTATTTATTATAATAGTATTATTCTTGTACTATTTTTGTAACTATTTCTTTTTTAAAAATATGATAATTATTTGATCATATAGAAGTTTACAAATAAGTAACTTTTATGACTTGAGAAAAAGCATAATAATTATCATAATTGTTATACTAATTATTAGGTTCTATTTATTTATATGTTACCAATTAAAATATTTTTAATTATAAATAAAAAAAAAAAATAGTACAAGTCAATTAAACTTAATTTCAAATCTTATTAATAAAATTTTATACAAAATTTTATAAAATAATCTAATTAATTAAGTTAAAATTAATAATAATAAAAAAATCTTTAATTTCAAAAAAATTTTAAAAAAATTTTTTTGATATAGGATTAGAAAAAACATCTAAAATAAAAAGATAAAAATATCAATAGAATAAAAGTTATATAGATAGAATAAATAAAACAAAATTTTCTTATAAACAATATATCAAAAAAGAAAGGTAACAAACAAAATTATAATAAATGGGAATCTCAACAAGATTGTCAAAGATGGATCAAATATAGAAAGAAGCAAATGGATTTTAATTTTTATTTGTACTTGAAAAAGAGCTATAGTAATGACTTGTAGATAACAATACTGTATATCTAATTGGTAAGATTCTTAGGCATGGAATAATCAATCATTGCAAAGTTACATCTAAGTCAAATAGAGCTAAAACAGGTGTGATAAATGGAGAATATATAGTATATACAGTATATAAAACCCATTTTATTCCGAAATAACATTTGAAGTTTTGTGGTCGCGCAATCAGTCGTGTCTACCTACACATTGTTGATTAATCTCACGGGGCCTAAGAAATCTGTAGCGGCCATATTTACGTAGGAATTAAAGCATAGCTCGCATGATAATACAATGAAAATTGATAAGATTCTTTCAAGATACTCGTTCTTATTGGATATAGTATACTTTAATGCAAAAAAAAATATACATCCAAGAATAGTAATTTAACCCACAAATTAAATAATTTAGACAGGAAGAATAATGACCCTTTCGAGTCACTAAGAATAGTTTAGGTGAATAGTTCCATGGGGGTAACCGCGTCAAATACAACAGACCCGGACAATTTTTTATTCTTCATAAAATTCAAGGGGAATTCAACCAGGTGACCTTTGATTTTACTCAATTCTCGTTTAGTCCTCTCCATATCTTCCCTTGCTGTCTCGCAAACATGACCAATTGGAATCTTTGTACGATCAGGAACAAAGGCCTTATATTCATCCCAATTGGTAACTAAAAAATAATTCGATTTAAGTATCACATACATTTCGCGCTGTGTATTTTGAATCATAAGCATTACCCAACTTACCTGAATCTTCTGGAACACAGTGGAAAACGTTACGGAAGATCTCAGTGTTTGACTTGGCGGTATGCAGCCAAAAATTATAGTAGAATTCGTCAGAGGCAGGATCAGTGACAATTTTATCTGCCTCGCCGGGTTTATGATAACCGGCATCAATTGGTGGAGGATGAGAGATGGGAGTCAGTTGTTCATGGTCAAATTCATTTTCTAGACCGAGATGTTCCTTGAAGATTGCACGACGAAGTGTGGCCGCGAATTTTCCAGCTTCCCACTACAATTTTAAATGGTTTATTTACAACACCTCATCACATTTCGAGAAGTCGTGCGTCAGATACTAACCTGTTTATCAGCTAATCTTGAATTTAAGTATTCCTTGTCTTCAATGATTGCGGCAATTTCAGAGTCATGATCACCGAGTTGCGACCTATCGTTCAAATTCGCTGAGATTTAGGATTATATTGTCATTAGCATTTTTGTAATCCTCAGTGTAGAGGTAGAATAAAAGGATAAGATGTACCAGATCCGATTATTACAATTTTGTCATCGGCAATCAAAAGTTTGGTGTGGATATAAAGTTCTTCGGTAACATAGGTGCCAGTGGGATCTACCGAATATTGAGATTCCGCTACGATTGGATCGGAATCGGCATTTTCAACTAAACTTGGAGCTCTACGTTCATCCTCGAGTACACCCAACCCCTTTTCAACAGCCCTATGATCAATCTTGTCATATTTCCGAAGCGCAAAGAAACCGATATATTTATGCGGATCTTTGCACCCAGCCTTTTCAAGTTCTTCAATTATGGAATGTCCACCGCGGCAGATAGATTGGTATTGATAATGTATGACCAATCTTCATGTTTAAAAAAAAAAAAAAAAAAAAAAAAAAAATTTAATGATCGATTCGAAAAAACAAAAAAAAATGTGTATGCCCAGGGAACTTCGATCACGAATATTACCGCACTGTGCCGGCTTCTGCTGTATCAAGCTCGGCAGGGAAAGCTGGCAGTAATGGCATGGCAACGATAATTCGGAACTTTTCGTCGTTTCTGTAAGCTTTCATGATTCTATCGACGATTGCCTGTAATGAACAGATTGGAATCAAATCTATGTTAAATTCCGAGGTCGTTTTGATTCTCAATGCAAAAAGTTTAATTAATAATAACCTTTCCAATAAGATTTTTAACAGGATAGTCGTCGGATTCTTTAGTCGCAGTAACTGAGAAAAGTTAAGAAGCATCAATATACTCATTTATTATTATTATTAAATTAAATGTCGTTTACAATTAAAAAATACTCACTAAAGAATTGATTTTCGATGTAAATAAAGTGCTGGGCATTTTGGATCGTATGAATGTAGGCATTTTGGATAGAATGCTAGAAACGATAAACGACGTTGATTGGCTGTTTCATAAATAAGAACATGCAACTGGATAGATTCCAAAAAAAAAAATTACTTCTGTTTCCGGAAGACCGTGACTCCACGCGGAGCTACTTCTCAAGATTTGAACACTGCATGTGCCACTTTCCGGATGGACTTCAACCACCCTCCCTGTGGAAGCATATCTTCTTATTGTCGTGGGACGTTCACGTTCGTATTGAACGTCTGATTTTGCAATCAACACAGGGTACGCGGGTAAGTTTTCGGCCTTTGCTTTCTTGACAAAGTTCCACCTCTGGATAAAGTGACGGGCTACATCAAGTGCAGGTTTTCCGACCTAATTGTCGAGGGTTAATATGTACACGCTATATAAAGTAGATAATATAAAGAAAACTTACAAAACCAATCGATATGTCATGCCATGGCATACGAGCTGTTCTGTTCTTGTTGATTAAAGCTCCCGCCCAATTTTTAACTATAGATTCATTTTTTGAGAAAGTAAACACGATCAACAAAGGTTTTCTACGAGGGATCAAGCAAAATAATAAAAAAGCTCATGTACCATCAACAAAATCCTTAATCCTAGGGTTAGAATAATCCTGTCCAGGCCATATTGAATAGTGTTTGGAAATTTGGGAAAAATCCGAGAGTTGGTGAGCACCCGTGTCATAACGTCCGAAGCACAGGTCCAGCCCGCCAATGAAGGCTGTATGACGATCAACGACAATCATTTTCTCGTGGTGCTATAATTATGTTGAAGGTGACAATAAAAAATCATCATTGGCCCAGGAAATATGGACAAGAACCCATTGATCACGTGCATGTATTTACCGCCCAAAAGAAGGTTCCGCCGTCAAGACCATGATCAGGATGTCTTTGAACTACATGATATAATTTAAAATTATTTTCAGTGCACTATTGAAAAAGTTTTCTGAAATAAATTATGTACGGCGATTTTACCAAGAATATTTGGGTGTAACGTCTGCAAGACTTCTTTAGAGTGCTCAGAATCCAAAGTTAAGGCCTGTTTCACCTCTTTAAAAAGGACCACATAAACCTTTACCCCTGCTTCAGCCTTCTTTTTGAGAATCCTGTCAAGACGATACTCTTCGTTCTTACACGGAGGTCTTCGAAGATACTACATTTTGTTTGATCACGTGTTATCACGTGAAAGCAAATAGGACTTCGCTACGAAAACAACAATTAACATCATTGAACCCACCAATTCCGGAGAAAGCCACCAGTCCTCAATAAAAATCTCTTCCGTTGCATTCATGAGGGCTTCGGAAACTGCATGAAAATAGTTTTTCCCGTCGACATACCATTTTACAAAGCATTTTTCCCGAACCTTAGAGAAAGATCCGTGTCGGAAAAATCTTTCAACCTCAGCCGGAGTTCCACTTTTCTCGGTGAAGATTTCACCGGTAACAACTTCCTCGACCAAATGTACAGCCTTCCCCAAAAAAGCCATGACGAATTGATTTTATCGAATTTATTCCCAAAAGAAAATTGATCTCTCAAGCAAGAGAGAACAAGAGTTATGATACGGCCAACGAAAGTTTTATTGCTCAAAAACAAGTTACGAACTTGATTGATGTTACGCGCGCTTTATAAATAAGGAGAAGATTGCACATTACGGTAAGAAACCAAATCAAGCATTGGCGTATATGTGTAATATTGCTTATACCAAAGAAGTTTATGTAAGTATCTTTATTGAATCTTTACCGTGTCTTCATGTTTAATGCATTAAGACTTAAGCATCCATTCACAATGAAACAAGAATTACGTTCCGCACATCCTTACTCTGTTAACTCGGAGCTTAGATTGAGGCCTCGAAAAATATCGATGCGAACCGCTGTTCCGAAACCAGGTCTTTGCCCCAAGATTTGAAAATCGATAACATCAATAATGGCGAATCCAAATCATTTTTGGTCGATTCTTTTTTTTTTTATTTTTCGAATTGTGGAAGACTCCCTGCGAAGATAATTCCTAAATATGTTCAAATTAAGACGGGAATGTTGATCCTATCTGCTATAGCTAAAACCTGTACAAATTGGGCAAATACGATCTTATAAATAGTTTAATGAGTAAACCGTAAATGCATCATAAGAAAAACGGAAATAATTGACAGAAAAATTTTTTCATTCGATCCCTAAAGTACGATTGCATGCCGAATATTTCTAATTGGTTATTCTATGATATTGATTTATTATTATCAGATGATCTCGTATATGGTTTCTTCCTTTTTTTTCATCTACATTACCTGCAGCTTAAAATCGAAAGCATTCATCTGGCAGTGCACCTAGTGAGAGGGAAAATATCAAGTATACGGAGAAACTAGTTCGAATTTTTTGGACTAGACAAGCAAGATGCTGCAGTATTTAGAAGGAATAAGTTCACTAAAGGAAAATAGGATAAGTTGTCATTCTCGGAGCAGAGGCTTGCAAAAAAAAAAAAAAAAAAAGTAACGTACAGTATCAAAGAATCCATCTAATTCGTCTGATTCACCCAATGATTCCGTTTGTACATACAAAACACACATCTCAAGAAAAGAAGGCGGATAGAAGCCCTTAAACTTCGTTTCGCATTCAGATAATTAGATCAATCCTATCCCACCAGTCCGGAGTGGATTCGCTTCTGCGCATTGGTGTAATTAATCGATTAGTATTTCTTCCCTGTACAAATGAGAAAAATGCGGTGATCCGCTTTATAAGTGAATGTGACGATAAAATAGTAAGGTTGAGAACTTTGCAATTCCGAGGTCGCCGGGCGTTGGTCCAATGAAGGGAGCAAAGTTTCACACTCGAAGCTTTCTTGGTGTCATAACGATAATATTTCCTTTCCTCCTTCAGCAAGGCATAAACATGTAGAATACGTGGAGATCAACCAACTTTCCACATAGTTTTTAAATTATGCATGTACTGTGCATGCCGCTTACATGCGAGCGAGATTTTCTATGAGCCTTGTATTTAGGAAAGCAAAGACTGAAATTCCCGATGATCAAGTTGAACGTTATTTTACCAGTAGGATTATGCATTTAATGCAAATAACGATCGAATTTCTTGCCATCAAAAACAACGTCCATACGATTTCAGGATGTTGATTTGACCGGGTTGGCTTTGTACAAAGGTCGACCTCATGACTGATAATGTCATAGTCAACACCTTAAAAATTTTTTTTCAAGAAAAAATAATTATAGAAATATGAATACGGGTAGAGACGGTGTCGTTGTAAATATAATGGATACATCTCGTACTTGTATTAATAAAGCGTACTTTACATTTATCGCAACCTGTATAGATTATCATCAAATTACAGTATGTCATCCGAACTTGTATTGCAAAAATTTTCACACACCACATAACTTTAAGCCAAACAGGATAGTATCAAATTTTTTATCAGATTTTCGCGAAAAGATGATTCCAATATCGATTATAAAAGACGGAGGTTCAGTTGGTAAACCCTTCAATACAACATAATCGTGGTCTTCATCACGTGTCTCATAAGCGCAGTCAAGTTGACGTGGCTATTATGCAATGAATTTCTCGTACATAGAGACTTAAGTACTGTAAATTAGTACGCGTGAATTGAAAATATCGCATTGCTTATTTTATTTTTCTAATCTCTCGATTCACGTTTCAGACCCGAACTTTCATATTCGAGGAAGTTCGTTAATGCGAGTGAGGGTGATTTAGATTAACAAAATTTTGTAGATTTCGTGTTTGTAGCCAGCAATAGTGATAAGAAATAAACAATTGATGTAACAAAGAGATGCAGTATCATGATACTGGGAGTCGTATTAAATGGCCTAGGATGAAGTATCATACACTTCACTCGCCACATCCACCCGAAATTACGTATAGTACATAATCCTTAACCTTCGCTTACATTTCGGATGGATATTTGACTTACCATACGGTGTTTCGAAAGTCAATGGTATTATGGAAAAACAGTTAAAAGGGGAACACGCAGGACATGCTTCCGTACGTTCTGGATACTAGCGTCCAGGGGAAAGGCCTTGAACACATTGGTTCCTACATACTAGCACCAAGCATCTAACGCGGGACGTAATGTGTTTGACTTGCGAAAATTTGGAAAAATTCATACGCGTTTCAGTGATACAAGCGATATTATTGATCAGGGATCGTTTTCAAGATCACAACTCGCACTTCTCGTCAAGATGTTTTTTTGAATCGATCATGAATGAATATATTCAACATACAACCTGTAAAGACTGGCGATTTACTTCCATACTAGGAATGTCAAATCAAAATCTGAAAGCAGAAATATCTTCATGCTACAGGGTAATCCCAGCATTCTCGAAAATGCAAAAAAAAAAAAAAAAAAAAAAGAGAGCGAGGAAATTGTTGTTGCTAAAGCTTTGTGAAGTCATGCTCCTCGATAAATTAAACCGTTTTATTGATGAATTAAAATTAAAATGGAATTCCGTACAACAAAGCGTCGCAAAATAACGTCATAAAGATGTGCTTAACTCTCTGTGCTCAAAAGCAGATTGGGTCAGATCCGATGTTCTTGCGAAAAAAACTTTATCGAAGAGACTTAAACCTGTTTACAAGAGAATGAAACCTTTTTTTAATGAAATTTGAAAAGTAAAATAATGAGTTTCATAACAGGGAAAGCAACGAGTGCGGAGATATAGAGTATGCACAAGTCTGATCAACAGCATCAAGAAAAGATCACTCTACCAAAAATTTCAACAGTTCATACGAATGCCTTTTTTTTGAAGATATCTTTTGACCCAAGAGATCAAAACAGTCGAAGATTTTATAGAAATGAAGATATGCAATTATAAGACATCCAAGAATAATTATAGTATTGGTAACATCTATAATTACAATTATCAATTAAAAAATTGATTATTAATTTTATTCATTTAATTCTCACATTAATTTAGATATTAATTAATTAATAAGTATACTGAGAAATAAAAAAAGTTTTTTTTTTAAACCATAATTAATATTAGATGCAAATTTTATTAAAAAATTAATTTATTATGAATAGATAATTAAATCCTTCTGGTTTAATATCAATTATTTTATACATATTATATATTTCTATATACAGTATATGCAAATTGATGATAACTATTATATTATTTTTTAAGCTAAACCAATTATCACTTAGTAAATGAATAAATTTAACTAGAAGCCAATATATAATTATCCAACAACTATTCTAAATTTAATATTGAACTTACAAATTTTTATGTTTTCTTAATTTGAATCTATTTATATATATTTGATATATTTGATAGAAAATAAATATTTTTCTGATATTTTTAAATATTATTTATTTAGATCTTAGAAAAAGACATAATACCTTCTTTATTATTATTTATAATATTAAATTAATTTTTATTAATTTATTTTTATTTGAATAAAATATTAAATTGAAATATCTTATCAAAATTAGAGAAATAAAAATAATAAAATTTATTAAGATAAAAAGTTAATAAGGTTTTTATAATCAATTAAATCAAAAATCCTTCTTAATATAAATTTTTTAATAATATAATTATAGACTTCAATATTTAATTAATAAAAAATTATGAAAATTATTTACATATTAAAAAAATAATAAAAATAGATATATAATTTGAAACAAAACTTTTTGACTTTTTATTTTTTATTACAATTTAATAAATAATTATTTAATTAAATTAAATTTCAAATATACAGTATATAATTTATAATCTAATTTAAAAATTACTTGAATTTTAATAATAATTAATTAATAATTTTTTCAAAAAAATTTTGATTTAAAATTAAAAAAATGATCAAATAAAATTTTTTATAAATTTTTATATATAAACTATATATAAATATAATCGAAAAATAAATTTTAGAATATAAAAAATTCTTATTTTTTTTTTATTAATAAAAAAATTGTGAAAATTTTATTTTATATATTTATTTATCTTAATTTTATAAGTTTAATGATTAAAATATTATAATAATATTCTATTATAAAATTTAAAAAATTGTAATTTAATAAAATTTTAATAATTAATTTTTAAAAAATCTTTAAATAAATTATTTTTTTTTTTGAGTACCTATAGCCAGGTTAAGTTGTTTTTTTTTTTTTTTTAAACCCTCTGTCAAGCTAGGTATGTGTGCTTTATTAAACATATGTATACTTTACATTGAAAATATATCACTAAAGCTAAGTCTCTACCTAA